GCTAGAAATAAAATCAAGGTATGGCTGGGCCTTGATCTCTTTAAGGCTCCAAGGAAGAATTCTTCCTTGCCTCTTTGAGCTTCTGGYGGCTCCTGGCATCGCAGCATTCCTTGGCTTATAGCTGTGTACCTCCTCTCTGCCKTGGTCTTCACATGACAGCCTTTTCTCTGTCCCTTGTTCATCATTTTCTGTCCTTAGGAGGACACTGCCGTTGGATTTAGGGCCCACCCTTGTCTAACACGATCTCATCTCAATCTTTAAAATTCCAAAGACCTTATTTTCAAATAAGGTCACATTCTGAAGTTCAGGGTGGACATGAATATGGTGGTGGTGGTGGTAGGCAACTGTTTAACCCACTACAGTGTGACAAAAGTAATAGAGAAAAAAGGTGTTTTGGAAGGATTGAAGAGACTTTTCTATATAGGAGGCAACTTGGTCCCCATTTCTCCCTTGTGTACCAGTGTCATGGCAAACTGCCTGTAGGAAGATGGAAGGAAATATTTTTAAATTACTGATGCACGATAATTAAGCCTCCAGCCAACAGCAGTGTATGAGAGTGTCTACTTTGCTAAAGCTTTACCAGTAGTATGCTGTGAAACTTCGGGCTTTTGCCAATTTTGGGGGAAAACGGCATATTAAAAAAAAAATATATATATATATATATATGTATATATAATTAGTCGTAGTAGGGCGCAATACCTTTATTTTATTTATTTTTTATGTAGTGCTGAGGATCGAATCTAGCACCTTGCACATGCTAGATGAGTGCTCTACTGCTGAGACACAACCTCAGCCCAAAACAGTATCTTACTGTATGATTTTTGTTTTTGTGTTGGCAGTACTTGGAATTAAACCTGGRGGTGCTCTACACTGAGCTACATCCAGCCCTTTTTTTTCTTACGACAGGGTCTTGCTAAGTTTCTGACGCTGGCCTCTAACTTAGAAATTTTCTTGCCTCGGCCTTCCAAGTAGCTGGGGTTACAGGTGTGTATTACGGTGCTCAGGCCAATATGTTTCTTAAACCCTAGTGGTATTTTTGTTTGTTTATTTATTTATTTATGGTGCTGGGGATTGAATTCAGGGGCACTCGACCACTGAGCCACATCCCTGGACCTATTTTGTATTTTATTTAGAGATAGAGTCTCACTGACTTGCTTAGTGCCTCACTTTTGCTGAGGCTAGCTTTGAACTCATGATCCTCCTGCCTCAACCTCCCAGTCTGCTGGGATTACAGGTGTAATCATATGTTTATGATACAGGAAGAAGAGGCAGGTAGCTTGATAGAATTGCCCAGGTTAAAAATTTTTGTTACTTGTTAGTAGAGTTTTATTTGAAAACCTGCTGTCTGAATCAACTTTTATAGTATAAAACAGTTATTTGAGGAAAATTAAATCTTTTAATGGTTGAGGCTATATAACCTTTCTTACCTGGTGAGGCAGTGCGTTATAATGGCCAATGGTACGGACTATAGAGTCAACTTGATTGGGTTTGAATCCCAGTCCAGGTACTTCATAGATATATATCATTGCAGAAGTTGCTCATCTTTCATTTTTTTTTTAATCTTATTTATTTTCTTCACAATTCTGGGGATCAACCCAGGGCCTCACATGCACTAGGCAAATACTCTACCATGAGCTACGACCTCAGAAATATATTTTTTAAATGGGCTGATAATGACAATTGTACACCCATCTTATAGGGCTTTTCTGTGAATTTAATGAATAAAAAATGAAAAATCTGTAAAGTGTTCAGACAGAGCCCATCATAAAATAAGCACTATGTTTGTACTTTGATTTTGTTGATGTTTCAGTGGTGATATAGGAAGAAAAGGTAGAAGAATTACTAGGATAGATTGATTCTTTTATAAAATTTAAATGTATTAATCCTCTCCCATTTTCTTTTTCCATTTAGGTGTGAAATGTTTCTCTTATTCTACAAGTATGCTCAGCCTTGCATTTCTACCATACATTTTAGCACAAAATAATATTATATCTGGAAATCTGCCTTTGCAAATCTTATTTTATGGCATCATAGGAAGCTTTACAGTGATCACTCCAGTGCTGCTTCACTTTGTTACAAAAGGCTATGTTATTCGGCTATACCATGAGGCCACGACGGACACTTACAAAGCCATTACTTACAGCGTCGTGCTTTCAGAAAAGAGTACGGTATTTCACCAGAATGATGTGAAGATTCCAGACAGCACACATCTTTTTACCACATTTTATGCTAAAACAAAATCATTGTTAGTTAATCCAGGGCTGTTTCCAAACCCTGAAGACTATAACCATCTAATGGGTTATGACAAACCATTCACTTTTGACACAGAAGAAACCAATGAAAAGAAGCAGTTTGAGGATGAGAAATGAGCTTGTTGTTTGTTTTTATGTTTGTGCTTAAGTGTGATTTTTGTTTCATTGTATGATAAGATTGTCTTTACTTTTGTGTTGTTAGTGATTATTAAAAATAATTTAGAACTATCAGATTCTAATTTTCAGAKAATGATGTTCCTTTATAATAAAATAAGCTATGTTTGTTAAAACAAAGCAGAGTATCATTTTTGTTTTAAAAAGTGTGAATATTTGTTGGATATGGTGGTGCACTCCTGTAATCCTAGTTACTCTGGAGGCTTAGATAGAAGGATCATAAGTATAAAGCCAGCCTAGGCAATTTAGTAACAGAATGTTTAAAAAGAGAGAGACTGGGGATATAGCTCAATCGTAGACTGTCCCTGGGTCCAGTCCCCAGTAATGGAGGGAAAAATGTGAATATTTATGTACCTATTGATGTATACATGGATCATATGTGGTTGCCTCTAAATGGGGAATCAGATGTCAAAAGCAATAAGGAGAGAGATTTTTCTTGTGGTTGGAATTTTTAATTATATGAATATTTTTTTTTCCTTTTTGAAAAATTCACAAATTATGGGAAGCAGTATTAGTTTGTCTCCTTTGGTTCAGAATACAGGTTTTTGCTTCCCTTTCCATGGTGGCCCATCATGAGCGTCCATGAATGGTTGAGTTTGTGGTCAGCTCCCAAATGGCAACCTTAAGTAGGGCTGTCTTCAGTGCCATCTGTCTTTCCACATGTGTTCTTCCTTGGCACACTATCAGAATGGAAAAATCATTGATACTAAATAGAGGGACAATACCTTCTATAAAATAGCAATTTATGCTAACTTTATCTAGAATTTGCATTTTAAGATTTTTATCTCTAATGGTAAAATGGAAGTTAATTCTTGCAAAGGATTCATCAAGGAACAAGAGGCTTCAAACCATGCTATTTAGGTAGGTAGATGTTTAAGTGCCTAGAATGTGCCTGGTACTTTGCTAGATACTAGAGTAACAGGAGCAAAACACTCAGTCTATCTTTATGGAGTTGGCTAACAGCTGTCTTGTGGTCAACCATGACAGTAAATTTAAATTGAATCTTGGCCAGGTGTGGTGGTACACAACTATTCACAGTGATTCAGGAGGCTGAGGCAGGAGGATTGCAGCCTCAGCAACTAATGAGACCTCTCTTTCAAAATAAATAAAAAAGGCTAGGGATGTAGCTCAGTGGTGAAGTACCCCTGAGTTTCATTTCTAGTATTGGAAAAAAAACTATGCCTGGCATGTATACGAGGGAGGTTGATGGGGGCAGCAGGACTAGGCATAACTAGTTCAAGAAAAAGTTCTTTCAAATTTCAGGTTGCCAGAAGCTTATTCATAGGGAATAGCTTGAGGCAGAAAAGTCATCCTTCTGTGACCTAGAGCCTGCCATGTATTAGAATTGGCCAGCTCATCAGATTCAAAATCCCCCACACCCTAGTCCTCTGTGCCATCTTGTACTCACATTGGGCCTCTGGTTGATTGTTCTTCAGTCCTTTGTGGCCTAGATAGATGCTTGTTCTTAATCTAGCAGATAATGGGGTATCTTTCTATAAAAATATGCCATCATCATATGTTCWTTGTGAATATACTAGAAAGCAAACAAAAACACACACCTCCACCACAATAACAAACCCCAAAATCATTCCTACTTCCACCTAGGGGGAAAATTGGTTAACATTTTAAGGTTTTCTTGATTTCCTCTCAACTTGTTTTGAGAACCAAATTTCTCAATTGGTACAAAAACCTTTACTGTAATAAACCCAAGATATTTATAATTTATACAAATGTAAACATATTTACCTCAACAAAAATGCAAAGACACATTTCACAAGATACAAAACCAGGAAACATTCATTGGACACACTACTATTCTGTAAGTGTCCATCATGAAGTGAACTGCAAGGAACTGACAGCAGGGAGGGCCTGATTCCCCCATGGTTTCCTGTCTAATGCAAGTTACTTTCAGAATATTGTTTCTCCCAATGACAGTAGTTCAGGAACTGATGACCATTCCCTCAAGCTTTCCCACAGTCCACACACAGTAAAATAAGCCTGAACTTGACCAGTATGTGACCTTCTTGGGGTGGCGGTAGTGAGCACCTGTAAACCCAATGCAGAAGTGTCAATCAACAAGTCAAGTGCAAACAAAGAACTGATGAGATAGGTGTGTAGAAATCCTGACATGTGCAACAGCTGACTGTGTGCCTGCATAACCTCCCCTCCCTGTTATTGTTTTGTTTTGTTTTTTGGTCTGGATAAACTTTACTCCTTGTATTCTTCTTTTTCTTTTTATTGTTGAAAACATTACAAAGCTCTTGACATATCATATTTCTTAACTAGCAACCTAGGGACCCCTAATCCATGTACTGTCTACCTTGTGCTCAAGCACAAAACCCCAATAAAGCCTTGTTCAGATGGTATTACTTGCCTCTGCAATTTCTTTTCCAAATTGAGTCAAAGAGCCTTTGAACTGGTAAAACTAAGATCTGGTAAATCAAAAAGAGCTGTACTTTTACCTTTTTGTAATTTTCTATTTTGAATTGAGCAAAAGAACTCCATGAAAGCTGGACTCAGAGGCACCTGCCTGTAATCCCAGTGAATTGGAGAGGCTGAGGCAGGAAAATCAAAAGTTTGAGGCCACTTAGTGAGAMCCTGTCTCAAAATAAAAAGGGTTGGAGTTTTTGTTCAGTGGTAAAACATCCCTGGGTTCAATCCCCAGTATAACAACAACAATAAAATAATAGGTGATTTAAAATCTCATACTCTGGCAAGGTGTGAATATAACTTTAAACACCCTAYACTCATGTGATCTTTTTTTGCCATCAGGGAAAATCAGTTTTATTAGCTGCTGTCAGAATAATTAAGAAGATAACTTGTTTGGGAGGGGAAAATAAAAAAGCTTAGGCTAAATGGGTGACTTCAAGAGCCTGGTCTGGAGTGAGAACAGAACATAGAAAGGATCAGCATGTATAAGAGCATGACAGTTCATCAAAATAAGTCAGCAGAAAGAAYTCAGGCTGAGGGAAGGAGAAATATTATGTACTTTTTTATGTGACTTTTCTACCCTCACCCAGGCAAAATAATCTCAGAAAGACTGGGGAGGTAAGAGTGTGCTATTGTCCAGGGGGAAGGGTGGTGAGTCCGTTTTATTTGAATCTCAAAAGGCTGGGTGATTCCAGCTAACATCTGGGGGTATTTCAGATAATAAGCCTATTCACAAAAATATATATCATTGCAATCCTTTTCCTGAATGTAGATTTCATTGTACTGAAAACCCTCTATTTTGAGATGCAAAAGTAACAAAATGATCTAGCCGTGGTGGCGCATACCTGTAATCCCAGCAGCTCAGGAGGCTAAGGCAGGAGGATCACCAGTTCAAAGCCAGCCTCAGCAATTTAGTGAGGCCTTAAGTAACTCAGTGAGACCCTGTCTCTAAATAAAATACAATATAGAGCTGGGATRTGGCTCAGTGGTTAAGTGCCCCTATATTCACTCCCCAGTACCAAAAAAAAAAAAAAAAGTAACAAAACGGCTATTAGATATAAAAGATAGCCTTAGTTTGGATGTATTTGCTAAAATAGTATTCAAATTATTTCAGAATACCTTGCACTTTTGTTGTTGCTTTTCTTTCTATTGCAGATTTCAAACATACAAAAATAGACAGAAGGGACTGGGTTACAGCGCAGTGGTAGAGTGCTTTCGTAGCATCTAGTGAGGCACTGGATTTGATCCTCAGCGCCACATAAAAAAAAATGAATAAAGTAAAGGTATTGTGTTATTGTGTCCATTTACAACTAAAAAAAATATTTTAAAAAGTAGACAGAAGTGTACAATGAACTTGCAGTGTTCTATCATCCATAGTTAACAATGACCAATTTACAGTCAGTATTGTCTCATCTAGACCGTGACCACTTGCCATATTAGGATATGCAAGTGTGCTTGCACACACACACACACACACACACACACACACACACATATATATATATATATATATATATATATACATATGTACCACTGAACCATACCCCAAGTCTGACATTTCTTCTCTTAAATCTTCGATTTTGTAACTACAAGATAAGGACTTCTTAAAAAATTATAACCATAATGCCGTTATCATAGCTACAAAACAAAAACAACCCTAATGTCAAATATTCAATCTATTTAAAATTCTAATTGTTTCATTTTACTTGGATTGAGATCTAAATAAGTTTCACACTTTATTCATACCAATTGTTGGTATTGGGACATTTTATTACTGAGTCATATCCCCAGTCCTTGTTATCTTTGATTTTGAGACAGGGTGTTGCTAATTTGCTGAGGGTCTCACTAAATGGCTCAGGCTAGCTTCTAATTTATAATCCTTCTGCCTCAGCCTCCCAAGTCACTGGGATTACAAGTGTCACCACTGTGCCCTTCTGAAATGCCTTTTAAGACTCTTATGGGTCCCTTCATTTCTTTTGCTCCTTTTTCCCCCTTTGTGAATTATCTCTTGAAGAAACTAAGTTATTTGTCCTTTAGATCTTCTTATAGTTTAGATTTTCTGATTATATCCTGGGAGGCATGTTTTAGTATGATTCCCTGTCTTCTATTTTTTCCATAAATTGATAGTTGGATCTTAAAGCGTCACCAAGAGATTTGATGAGCTTGGATGACTTCATAGATGATTGTATGAGTTATTTATTTTTGTACAAAAAATTGCCCCGGTGTCTGTGTCTGGAATTGGGGAGTGGCTTTGCGGAGAGGTTCTCTCATGAGATTGCCATCAACATTAGCAGGTGCTGCTGTCATCTGGGGGCTGGCCTGGAGCAGAAAGGACTGGCTTACTCACATGACTGATTGGTGCTAGCTTTTTGGCAAGATACTTCAGTTTCTTATCACATGGATCTTTCTTTAGGGCTTCTTGCTTCCTCCAGAGTAAGTGAACCGAGAGCACAAGGTGGAAACTACAAGGTCTTGCATGACATTTTCATTGCGTGATACTTTATTGGTTACAGTCAACTTTATTCAGTATTTGATGTGCTTACCAGGAGGTGAGGCTCATTGAGAGCCATCTGGGAGGCTGGCTACCACAATGTTTTTCCATTAATTTTTTTTWAAATTTTTTTTAGTTGTTGATGAACCTTTATTTTATTCATGTATTTATATGTGGTGCTGAGAATTGAACCCAGTGCCTCACATGTGTGAGGCAAGAGCTCTATCACTGAGCCCCACCCCCTATTAACTTTTTTTTTTAAGCTTGCTCTTTGTGTTGTTAGCAACCACTGATGCTCAATGCCTAAAAGCACTAATTCACTAAGGTGTTGCAAAAGAATGAATATATATAAATTTTAAATCCATCTGCTATTATTTATTTATTTATTTATTTATTTATTTATTGCAATTCTAAGAATTGAACCCAGGGCCTCATATATGCTAGGTGAGCACTCTACTACTGAGGCACAACCCTAGTCCAAAATGATTATATTCTAGCATTCCTTTTTTCATGTATTAGTAGAAATACCCCCAAAAGTAGAGAAAAGAGTAC